TTTTGACTGTACAATCTAGTACAAATCAGATAAATAATGCTTCTACTTGTTGTTGCTTTCAGTTATTGTTGCTGTTGTTGTTGTTGTTGTTATCGTAGCACACTCAAGAGTTTCCATTGTTGTTGAAAAAACAATAACAAATTTTTTGTTTTCTTTGTTTTTTCCATTTTTCTTTTGTAGATAAAACTAAAGAAAATGTGTGCATGTAAATGTGTATGTATGTGTGTGTGTGTGTGTGTTGGGTTATTTTAGTATATTGATAGGTTACGTTCGATTTTTTTGTTTCACTTTAATTAGACAACAAAATAGGGATTAAAAAAAAAAGGGGGGATATATATATATATACCAATGCACACAGCGACGTTGCCAGATCATCAATTGAGCCTAGCAAAAAAAAAGTAGGTGGATGGGTGAGGTAGGGAATTGTCTAACGCCTACAATCAGCTGCAAAATAGACTACACAAATTTTGTTGTTTGCAGCTAAAATTATAACTGGGACACAAAAATAATAGTGGGAACTCGTTTCTGTGTGTGTGCTACAAATATAACTTTCTGGTACGTTAATTGGCTGTAGTTGTGTTTGTATGTGTATGTGTGTTCGTGTGTGAGTGTTCCTTTGTGTGGGTGTGTGTATAAAGGGAAATTTATTGTTTGGGATAATGGGGAAATTTGATAGTGTAGTGTGTGTGTGTGTGTGTGTGTGTGTGTTTGCGTGTGTGTGTTTGCGTGTGTGTGTTTGCGTGTGTGTGTTTGTGTGTGTGTGCGTGTGTGTGTTTGTGTGGGTGTGTGTGTGCGTCTGTGTAGTTGTTGGTATGTTTGCAGATGAAGAAACTGAAGTTAAAATTTACCTCGACTTGTTGTAACCGTATGGGGGATAACCACCGTTATTATTGTTACTACCCGGATTATTGTTGCCGTACATATCCTGAGAGTGTGTGTGCACGAGTATTTTTTGCAAAATACTCTCAGTGCGTCGTTCTTTTGTACAAGACTTGAAGATTTTTTCTCGTTCTCTCTCTTTCGCACGTATGTCTCGATCTACGAGATCAGAGAGTTTCGAATTCTACTCTCTCTCCCTGTGTCTTAGTCGATTGGCGCTCAGCGCTCTCAGCTGCCAGCTGCTGTTCTAGATTATTCTCTTTTTGTGGTTTATGCTCAAATTGTCTCGTCTGCTTTGGGTGTGGTGTTAGTGAGCGAGCGGGTGCTGTATGAAACTGTGTGTGGGAGTGTGTCTGTGTGTGTGTGTGTCTATGAGTGTATTTTATTGCCTGGCGAGAGCTTTTTCAGGCTCTCGTCGTAGACTGGAACGCAAACAGTTGCGTTTAAAGCCTTTTCGTTTCCTTCTCTTTCTTTCTTTTATCAGTTAGTATCAAATATATTGGCGGGCACTTTGTCTCTTCTTCTTTGTAGACTGTTTTATATTACTCCCTCTCTTTCTTCTTTGTAGCTGTTGTTGGCGCGCTCAGCTGTGTAGCGGTTGTTACTAAGGTTGTTGTTGTTGGAAGTGAGAGATGAGAAATTGGTAAGGAAATTAACATATGATCAAAGAGACGTGCACTAAGCATTGTTTTCTCTTACTTAATGTGTGTGTATGTGTGTGAGTGTCTTTTCTGCATGTGCGTATGAATGCGCAAGTGTGTGTGAATGTGCAAGCGATTTATTTTAGAGTAAATACTAATTACCTAAAGAGCGAAATGTAAACGGCAGGCATATTACATATAATTAAGAGTATCGGTTTACAGTACAATTTGTATGCGTGTGTGTGTGTGAGAGAGAGAGAGGGCAAACATAATTGCCACTTTGTGTCCCAAAATCACAAGCACATTAACAAAAGCGATCTTTCATACAGATTTCCAATCGAATTTCTTTCTTATAATTATGATAAATCACAGAATTTAGTATTAAAATACAGAATTTTTTAGTATTAAAATACAGTATATTTACAAACAAGAACCAGTTCTTCAGAATACAACAATATATTATAAAACAGAACTCTACCAGCCAAAGTACTGGAGTAGAGCAGTCACCCTAAACAAATTCAAAAAACGCTGAAATAATGTGTAACAAATTTCGAAAACCAAAATGCAAAATTCCGCTTAAATATATTTATACAAACTATATGCAATTAGATATATATGTTTAAACGGGGCCAACACTGGATATATCTATATAGATGGTATATAAGAGAGCGCCAACATACCTTGCCATTTTAAAGTTATAGAAGGACGACATAGTCGTTGAAGGTGTCACAGTATCAAAATTGAAATCCATTTTTAAGGATATTGTTATCACACACGAATTATATATAGAGAATATTATATATTTGTAACGAATCACAAATTGTAAGGCACAAGTTAGACTTGACACGAGTGAAACTCGACTGAAGTGCGGAGGGACGAGTCAAAACTATTTAAACGATCGCCCGTATCTGCACCAGTGGGCGGAGAGCCCTGCAGGCTACCTGCACGGAGAGGGATAAGGAGGGAGGCGCAAGTCGCGCGTGCCTGACGCGTGCTCTACCTGTGCGAGCCAGAGGCAGAGGGAAAGAGACAGAGCGACCACCCACCACCCGACTCCCACACGAGTCGGCTGGACTCGACTCGACCCGAGCAGCGATCAACGCTCGATCTACCGGGAAGCGTGCCATTTTTATGACGGACTTTTCTTGATTCAGGGGCAGATGTTTTGTCTTCTCGGAAGCTCTCTCGCTCTGGCCCTTGCAAGGTGGAAATCTGAAAAGGTGGAACATTGGGACACAAGCTGCAAACTGATTTTTACTTGGAAAGCAAGCTGCAAATTATATATTCGAGCTGGGAAGCTGCGAAACTGGGAAACTGAGTGCAGAGAGATTTATGAGGAACTAATCAAATCGATTAGAAGTCAGTTAAAAATATCTCGAAAGATGTATTTCAATACGAGATAGAAGATCTAATTTAAATATATTATTCACGATTTAATCAAATCGATTAGATTATTAAAATTAAACAATTTATGTCTTTTGATTTTAAAAAATTAAGGACAAATCCAGATCCAAACGCAAATGCAAAATCTTTTGGAATATATAGACAAACTTTTTTACAGATGTACATATGCCATTACTAGGAATTAATTCATTAGACATTTCTAAGTCCTTATGATTCGGACTGTTTTTGAGTACGCCATAATAGATCTATATGGTGTTTAACTGAAATTTCTATTAGATTAAAATATATTATTCAAATATTAATATATATCTAACATTTCAACAAATTTCTCTTTCGCTAAGGAGCCTGAAAACATTTTTCTTGGTATTGGGCTGGCATTTTCCAACTAGCTCAGCTAATGAGTGGATGATATATCACCTGCTTTTCAGGCAGCTGCAATTTCGCCTGGATTGTCGAAAGTCACTTTTCAATTATGCATATGTATTTTGCTATGTGTGTTAGCTGCTTTGATTTTTTATTCATATGAATTAGAAAACTGAACATAAAGTAGAGATAGATCTGTTTGTATATTATAATCAAAAAGCAGAAAATAATTTGATAAAATTTAGTGGTTTAGTTTACTACTACAGTCAAATTTCAATACTTTGTACGCTGCTTAATCTAAATATTCTTTAGTTTGTAAAATTCCATATATTTTGGTCCTCTCTTTACTTCTTCTTCACAACTCATAAAATATTAAGCCTCTTATAAATAGAAATTTTGTTTTGTTCGTAACCTCTTAAAATTCTACATAGGAAACTGAAACATCAGAAACAAGTTGAACCGTGAGAGTTCTTATGAATTTATTATAATTTTATTGACTGTTCAATGATGAATTAATATGAAAAAACGTACAATTGAATGTGCTTAGATATTTAGTTAAATTAGTAATTTTATTAATAGTAATAGTATTTGTTTCAAATTGTTATTAAAATATTGTGGTTTGTTATCAAACTTGGTTGTCCAGTCGCACTGATATTTCTATGAGCCCAGCTGTATACAGTGACGAACTAAATTATTGGCACAGCAAGGTTTTTAAACTTTATAGCAATTTTTCAAGTATTTTGAAACGTTTCTTTAATGAAACAAGAAATTAACTAAGTAGAATAAGGTATTTATTAAGTTATACAAAAAAAAAAAAAAATATAGCAAAAAACTTCATCGTACATTTTTTAAAAATTAAATAACCGAAAAAAAAACTAAATTTTGCTAAACAAAATTATTGGCACACTTAGTATTTATTT